AGTTAGGGATGGAGTTACAGCTCCCGTGGCAGCTACAACACCTTCGCTACGTGGATTCAAAATGCCGCCGTTCGACGGGACTTCTTCCTGGTCGGCCTACAAAATCCAATTCGAGGCTGTCATGAAGGCGAACGGCTGGAATAAAAGTCAGGCCATGACTGCTCTCACCCTAGGCCTGCGCGACCAGGCCTTACCTGTTCTGGAAGCTCTCGGTAAGGAAGTGACTTACGGGACGAAATATGGCGACGCTCACCTGGAACACGTCTTTCGTGCGCAGCTCAAACATCGCGTGCAACGCAGTAACGAAAACCTGCAGCAGTGGGCCCTTGAGGTGGAGAAGCTGGTTCGAAAAGCATACCAGTCTGTACCTGCGCTCATTGTAGGGAACCTGGTGCAGACATTCATCGACGGCATCCGCGACCTTGAAGTCAGAGCTGCTGTGAGGCTCGGGCACCACGAGACGCTTAAGAACGCCTTGACCCATGCACTGGAGGTGGAAGCCGTGCGGCAAGATCATCGTTCCCATCGCGTCAGGGACGTTGCAGCAGCTACAGTTCGGGACCGCAATAACGGCTACAGCCCTAGGTGCTACGGCTGTGTGGAAAGGGGCCATCTTCGATCCAGCTGCCCTAAGCGAAATGTAGAAAGGGAAGTTGATCGATCTTGAGAGATTAGTGCGGCTAACAGCACCACCTAGCAGCAGCAGGGAAACTGGCGGGTGCTGGCTGATGTTAAAAGAGCCCCAAGGATTTCGATCTCACAAAGCCCCGATGGGAACAGCCTAATCATCAAGGACGAGGTCAACGGAACGCCGTGTAAACTGACCATAGACATTGGAGCCTCTCGCACGGTTGTCAGTTCCCAACTTATAAGTCAATTCCTTGGGGACTCCGCATACAACCGAGAACGCATTAATTTGGTGACGGCCACCGGTCAGCGCATACCCGTCCGTAGAGAGAAGAAGATGGAGTTGAAGCTAGGCAACATGATCTACCTGCATAAAGTCATCATGGCTGATATAATGGACGACTGCATCCTGGGCCTAGACTTTATGAGGAAGAATTTTTGTGGGATCGCCGTTAAGCAAGGTGTTTTCAAATGTGGACAAGAGGAACTTTTCGTGGAAGGGGCGTTACCAGGGAATGTGTACAGCCTTAAGAAGATTATTCTTCCGCCGAGATCGGAAACTATTGTGCCGGTTAGACTTCCTCGGAATCCTGGGCAAACTCTTCGTTGTGTACTCGTGGAAAGGGTAGACAAGGACCTTCCATGGAAAGTGGCTCGAACTTTGGTCAGAACCGCCGACATCTCAGGAGTACGTGTGCTGAACCTTTGTTATCAGGAACAGATTATAAAAAAGGGCACATTGGTTGGTACTAGTGAGGAAGTGGATTGGTTGCGTCGGTGCCAATATCTATCGACTGGGACCCCCAGCTAGGATGGACAAACTAGAGTGACCACACTTTTATAATAGAATAGAATAAGTCATTTATTGTGCTAGTTGTAGGTTTAAGAGATTTAATACTATAAAAGTAATTAAGTATCACCACAACCTGCCTAGAAAAGGCTTACAATATTATTAAAATCATGAAACTTAAAACATTATCTCATTATTCATTAAATCAAATGAAATAACATGGACAGTAAATAATAATGTCAAAAGTACAATGGAATTATGCCAGTATAATCTAAGTCTATGAATGGAATATTGATATGTCAAAATACATGTAAGCTTATAACTAAAACGAAGTGATTTTAATACTCTTTGCTTATATATATTTCAAATGTCAATTAATTTTGAATGTAAGTTTGTAGCTCAAATAATCTTTTAAGGAGTAAAAACATCTTTCAGTCAATAATTCTAATAATTTATTCTTAATTTTTTTATTTCTAAATCTTTTAATTTGTCAGGTAAATGATTATATATTTTTGGTCCTAACGCATAAAATCTTTTTGAGAAAAAGGCTGTCCTAGATGTGTGAAACAGTATAATAGTTACATTATTATTTGTTTGCCTCGGGTGCTTAGCAATGTGCGAGTTAAAATAATTTAAATTACTTTTGACGAATAAGCAGGCTTGGTATATGTACAATGAGGGCAAATTTAGGATTTTTAATTTTATTAACAGAGGTCTGCAACTGTCTGTTTGTTTGGCACCAAACATTGCTCTGAGACACTTTTTTGCATACTAAACAATGGCAACAGGTTAACATCAGCCGCGCCTCTCCTCGCCTCGCCGCCTATCCATGATAAGCAGTAAGTGCAGTTTTTTATGAGACAGTTTGTGTTAATTTTCTTAGAGAATATACAAATTTACTAATTTTACTAGAAATATATTCGGTATGTGGTTTCCAGCTTACACATTCATCAACCAACACACCAAGGAAACGTATTTGTTTTACTCGCTCAATCAAATACCCCTCATACTTGTTTACAACAGTCTCTTGTTTCTGGTTTTGGGGAAGATAAAACTGCATATATTTTGTCTTATCTAGGTTTATGACGACATCATTAGCTTTCAACCAATTGATAATATCAGACAAAGCTTCAGCAATAACACAACACTCGTATGGTTTATTGCTGTTATTTTTTATCATAACAGTAGAATCATCTGCAAAAAGGATCATTTTATGCTGCACATGTCTAGGTAGGTCATTGATGTACAATAGAAAAAGAAGCGGCCCAATACTTCCTTGGGGTACACCACACTTTACAAGCTGTGACTGAGATCGTACCTGCACTTCAGATCGACTTTCCTCATTAACATAAGAGATTTCTGTGCATTGAAATCGGTTATTTAAATATGACGATACAAGACCAAATATAGGTCCTCTGATACTATACATATATAACTTTTGCAGAAGCTTTTCATGATTTACGTAATCAAAAGCTTTTGACATATCCATAAAAATAGCAGTTACTGGAACGCGATCGTCGAGGCATTCCAATACAACTTTTATCAAGTGATATATGACTAGATTCGTAGATCTATTCTTTCTAAATCCGTATTGCTCGTCTGCTAGTAAATTGAATCGTTCGCAATAATTATATATGCTTGTATATATGATTTTCTCAAAAATTTTGGAAATAACAGAAACCAGAGCAATTGGGCGATAATTTCTAGAATCTTCTTTATCCCCTTTCTTGAAAATAGGTTTAATTACTATTATTTTTAGCTTATCAGGGTAAATCCCATTATTTATAATTAAGTTGATAATGTGACTAAGCGGCCGAGCAAACTGAAAATTACAAAATTTTAATACTCTAGTGGTTATTTCATCGTGACTAACACTTGTTTTGTTTTATAAGTTATTAATTATTTTAACTATATGATCGGGCGTTGTTGGATTCATAAACAATGAATTTGATATATGTTCAATGTTACTTCTGTAATTTATTGGTTTACAGTTCTGTACAGGATTCATAAATGTATCATTAAAAGCTTCTGCAATATCACCTGGTTCAGTAATCGTTTTACCTTTATAAGTTACACTCTTCAAAATTTCTTTCGGCTTTGTGAAATTATTTGAATTTATTATCTTCCAGGTAGATCTTGTTATATTTTTATACTTGTTGATGTAATTGTTGTTTTGAATGCGTTGTGATTTATTAATAACTTTTTTTAAAATGCTGTATATGCATTATATTTAAGTTTATCATTTTTAAATTTTAATTGAAAGTACATTTTCCTTTTGCGTTTACACGATGTTTTGATACCACTTGTAATCCAAAATGACTTCTACCGAGCTGAAACTTTAACTAGGTTGAACGGGAACCATAAGTCATAAAAGAGTTTAACCAATTCATAAAACATATTGTACGCTTCGTTTACATCATTGCTTTGATAAATATCATAAAAAGATAAACTTTCCAGATATTCTCTAAATTTGGTTAGATTTTCAATACTATAGTCACGTCTTTTGATAAACCAGTATCGCAGGCAGGAATAATTTATTATGATAGGATATTGCAACACTTGAGCAGTGTGGTCGGATAATCCTAAATGTAAAATTTTGCTTTTACACCCACGGCAGTTATGAATGATATTATCGATACACGTTCGAAAAAGATAGAGATATTACTATAATTAGGAGTTCTGTATAAACAAATAATTATAACATTAAATGACACAAGTTCAATAGCACAACATTCAAATACGGTACTGAGAGAGTTTCTTGTAATTTCAGGCAATTCTCGGTAATTAAGTCCTCTTGAAGTCATAATACATGCACCTCCTCTTGCATTTTTTCTGCAGTATATGGCAGCTAGATTGTACTCGTAGTTATTGCATACTAAATTGTTTTCATGTCCATTCTTTACAAAATGTTCAGTTAGACAAATAACGTCAATACAGTTTCCTTCACTTGAAAAATCGTCCAATATGATCTCAACATTATCCATTTTACCTAGCGCACCACATATGTTTTGATGCATTACATGTAGAAATTTACTTTTCTTGTTTTCAAAAAAAGTCATCATTTGATAATTTTACATTCGAAACGATTTCACTAACACCTTGCTGAACTAATTTATCAGTTTGCGTCCCTTTGTTGGATTTATAGTGGTCTATAGACATATATGTCTTTTCGTATACGAAATCTCTATTTCTGAAGTAAACTTAAGATCTGCAAACAAAGCTCTCATGCCAAACAAAGCTCTCATGCCATGCCAATCATGAAGACTGTCGCAGCTTTCTCTCCCAGAATGAAATGGTCAAGGATAAGAAGTTGTTACTCAAGTACGCCAATATTTTCTCGTCAAATGAAGCTAAATAAACACAGGAGAAGAATTGCCTATTTGTCAGCGGCCAAGAATATTGCCTGTAGCATGTGAAAAGGAAGTGAAAACCATGATTGAGGGAATGGTGAAGGATGGTGTTATTGAACCTTCATCTAGTCGATGGTGTTCACCTGTGGTACTGGTAAAGAAGAAGGACGGCAGCATGTGGTTTTGTGTTGACTACCGCCGTCTGAACGACGTTACGAAGAAGGACAGCTATCATGCCGTTTGGATTGTGCAATGCTCCAGCAACGTTTGAAAGGTTGATGGAGCTTGTACTTACCGGGCTAATTGGAGATGCCTGTCTGGTGTACTTGGATGAAATCATCATCGTAGGCCGTACATTTGAGGAACACCTTCAAAACCTGGAACGCGTGCTCATGAAGATCCAGAGTGCCAACCTCAAGTTGAGTCCGAAGAAGTGCTCACTATTCAAACGGCAAGTTAGCTTTTTGGGGTATGTAGTGTCGGAAGAAGGTATCCGCACGGATCCAGAGAAAATTGCCGCTGTCAAGGATTGGCCGGTTCCAAAAGACAAGACACAGGTTAGAGCATTTTTGGGTTTGTGCTCTTATTATCGGCGATTTGTGAAGAACTTTGCAGATATAGCCAAACCTCTACACAAGCTAATCGAGGAGAAGCGACTTTCGCTTACAGAGCTCGAATCGAGTAGTCGTGCCTATTACTAATTATACAAGTGTTTAAATATTTTCAATAAAATTGTGACCTAGATAAGCCATTGGACAATTTCTGCTAAGTTGTGATTTTACAGTAGTGAATAACAAATTATAATGAAAAACATTTGAAAGAAATCACGTCTAATACATACGAAAATAGCCCTTTCAACCGGAGCACCATTACACCTCGGAGTCCGCCCAGCACTCCTCAGCCATCTCAACGTGATGCTGCAAATCCCATTGAATTTTTAGCCACCAGTGAAATTAAAAATTGGATGACCTCAATCGAACAGTGCCTTAATGAAGTTTGCCATATTGCCCAGGAGGGAAAACTAAACTCTCAACAAAAGCTGAGAATTAATTCCCTGTCGCGAAAGGTCGGAAATGCAGCCTCTCATATGGCATTATTCTACCAATCGTTGAAGCAAAAGGCTATTTTAATGCACACTTCTCTTGAAGCACTGAAAGAAAAAAAAAGAAAAACAAACAAAGACCTAATGGAGTGCCTTAATGATTTCAGAAAATCTGTTATGGAATCTATTCAAGAAAGCTGCACCAAACCACCATTAGAAAAAATTTGCTGATATGGTCAAGACAAACAAAAATAATTACTTGCGCCCCAAAACATTCAGTTCTATTGCAATTTACCCGGAAAATAAATTAAAAACTAGTGAAGACACAAAATCTCTTGTCCAAAAAATTATATGCCCTGAACAATTGAAATAACACGTAAGAGGACTACGTAAAACTAAAAATGAGGCGTTATTATCAGCACTGACACAAAGAACGACATTGAGAAGCTAAAAAAATCTACCCAGCTTAGTAGTTCCGGTCTAAAGTTGAAGGAGCACCATAAAAGAAGACCACGGATTATTGTCTTAGGTATATCTGCCGGCCTTAGCGAACGAGAAGTGTTTGATTGCATTTATTAACAAAATTTAGCCGATAAGCTCCCTAACTTAATGCGGGAATCTTTATTGTCCTCTATAAAGTTAAGTCATAAATAGGGTAAAAAAGAAGCACTTTCATGCAACTTTATTTTGGAAGTACCAGCTGGCATCAGAAAGGCGCTTATCAACCAGGAGCGAGTCTTCATAACTTGGACGTCGTGCCCAGTTCGAGACTTCACACTTGTGACCAGGTGCTTCAAATGTCAACAGTACGGACATGCTGCTAGAACTTGCCGAGAAACCATCGACACGTGTGGACATTGTGGTGAATTAGGACACCAGACAAATTCTTGCATTAAGAAAACGGATCCAGCAAAGTGTGCAACATGTCTGCGTTTTAAAAAACTGAGCAACTACAACAAAACTGGTGACCCTGAATGCCCGGCTATGAAGATGGCTGAAACTAGATAGATTAATTTCATAGATTATATTGAGGGCGCCTAAGAGCGCCACCGTTCATCTTAATCTTATTGCCCTAATTTAATTTAGTTTATTTTTTTCTTTTTTTTTTTCTGTTGTTAAGTAATTACTTATTAAGAAGAATAATATGGATAAGTTAAGTAATGAAATCGATGCTGTTTGTTTATCAGTAGCAAAAACATGTGAAATTGATACGTGCAAGGAATATCTCTTCATTGCCTCGAATTCACTTAATATTTTAAAACAGAACATTCGTAGTATAAATAAAAACATGGATAATTTCTATATACTCCTTCGAAGATTAGACACTGAATGCGACGTTATCATACTAACAGAATGCTGGCTATCTAAAAGCCAAAACAACCTGCCATCACTGCCAGGATACAATACTTATAGTAGTAAAACTGTATATAACCAAAATAACGGTGTAGTAGTCTTTGCGAAAAAAAATATAAACATATCAGTCGAAGAACCTGACATGCTAGATTGTAGTAGGTTATTGGTGAAAGTGGGCTATGAAACTGCTATCCTTGCTATTTACAGACTTTGTGACTTTGAGGCAAAGAGATAATTTTATCACGTCATTACACAATACACTTAGGCAACTGTCGCCATTCAAAAATATAGTGTTAACGGGTGATATGAATATAGATCTCAACCCTGAAGGCAGTCATGGCGGAGCAACAGACTACCTTAATATATGTGCCTGCCAGGGCCTGCTTCCAGTACATTTGCTCCCCACTCATCTAAGTGGTTTCTGATTAGGCCACATTTTTCTAAAAACTAAGTTACCATCTATAATCCTTGTCACCAATCCTATAGTAACCGATCATAGTGCCGTCATTCTTAGCTTAAGCCTTAAAATACCTAAACCGAAGTGTAAATATTAAACTAAAATTAATATTAAATTAAACTAATATGAAAAACCTTGAACATGCAATTCAAAACATTGACTTTAGCCCAGTTTATAAAACCGATGACATAAACATTTCTTTGCCTTACTTAATAAATAACGTACGAAATGCCATCGTTAGAAACACTTCGTATACGACAGTAGTTAAAAATAATAATAACTTAAAGCCTTGGATTACACCCGGTCTAAGTAGGTGCATGAAACATAGGGACAAGCTACACCTGATGGCAAAATCTTCTTCAGATAACTCCGTCTTACAAATTTCACATAAAAGATATAGGAATTTTGTAAAAATTTATTAAAAAAGTTGAAGTATAATTATCTTACAAACTTATTGGAAGAGTCTGGTAGAGATATTAAAAAGCTTTGGCGGCATGTAAAAGATATTGCATTTATATCCAAACAGCATGAATCTTCAGCAGAATTATTACAAAATATATCCTCACCGCTTATATCAGCAAATAAAGCAAATAATTACTTTTTAAACATCGGTAAAAATGTTGCTGAACAGATAATTAATAATTCTAACAATAATCATGAATACAGGGCTACTTTTTCAACTCAAAGAAACTGCCAATTAAGCTCGTTCGCATTATTAGATACGGACGCTGCTGAGGTAGAAAGTATTATAATGGGACTGAAAGAAACAAGCGCGGTTGGTTGGGATGGCATACCTACTAGTATATTAAGAAAATTTAGACAAATTCTAGTACCATATTTTTATACTTTTTTACTCATATTTTTCGAATTTGCCTCTCTGAAGGTATTTTCCCAGATTGTTTAAAAAAAGTCATTGTAGTACCAATACATAAATCAGGGTACAAAAAAACGTTTCCAATTATCAGCCTATCTCAATACTCTCATCTACGTGTAAAATATTAGAAAAAATAATTAACAATAGCTTAATGAATTATTTACAAAGTAAATCTATATTATCGAATATGCAATATGGTTTCAGACCAAACTTGTCCACTGCTGATGCTGTGCAGGTAATGAATTAGATAAAAGCAACCAATCAATTGGCATTTTCCTTGACCTAGCAAAAGCTTTTGATACTGTTTCTATTCCCATCCTATTAAATAAACTAGAGAGCATCGGTATTCGAGGTAAACAGCTTCAACTTTTTGCGAACTATTTAGAAAATCGATATCAATGCATAAAAATTGAAAAGGTTATTAGCTCTGAACAAAAAAATACTCATTTTGGCGTGCTTCAAGGAAGTGTATTAGGACCAACCCTATTTTTGATATATATGAATAACCTTTGCAATCTTGTTTACAAATTACGCAGATGATACCGTGCTTCTTTTTTTCGCAAATACAGTAGACAAGGTTTATTTATATGCACAGCAAGGTTTTGACAGGGTTATTAACCCTGTAAAAATGGCTGCAACAAAACATATTAACACTGAATACGGACAAAACCAAATATATTCATTTTTCTATGTGCAGCTCAACACAGCATATAACCATTCCAAAAATTTATGCACATAAATGTTGCTCAGCCGCAGAGTCTAATTGTAACTGCCCAGTTATTTTTAATACACGAACTATCAAATACCTTGGAATAATTATAGATTGTACGCTTACATTTAAAAATCACATAGACCACCTCTGCCACCATCTTCCGTAAACTAATGTTTGTTTTTAAAAAGATTCGCTCTTTTGTTGATATTAAGGTAGTAAATCAAGTATATTTCGCATTATGTCAATCAATTCTATTGTATAACCTCATGGGGAGGAGCAGCTAAAACTACACTGCTACCACTGGAACGCGCTGAAAGAGCTGTATTGAAAGTCGCAACATTTTGCCCTATCCTATTCCCGTCCCATCTCTTATATAAATCCTATAATTTCCTCTCAGTGCGCCAGTTATTCGTTATGTGTACGTTACTAAAACAGCACTTAAAATTGCCCTACAGAAGAGAGGTCGCTGATAAAAGACGCAAAGATAAAGTCATTGAAACGAACATTAGAATGAGGCATTCTTTCATGCATAGATTTTTTACATTTCTTGGCCCTTTTCTGTATAATCAAGTCAATGCAATATTGTACATGAATCCATTAAAAATGCCAAATTGTAAAAATTTATATGTAATTCGGACATGGTTACAAAGTTTGTCATATGATGATACGGAAAAATTGCTGATAGTTTTAAGCTAATTAATATCTTAAGTAAATTAATGATAATATATCTTACCGAATTAACCCTAATTAGTTGGTAAGTTATTCATTTTATATAAATGTTTTTTTTTTATATAAGATACAGAAAATATTTGAAAATGTATCTGTCAGCACATACACCTGAGATACAGGATTATCCTAGTTCAGGTACCTGTTATTGTAGACTATTTTAAATTAAGACATTATTTGAATTAATTGTACAGTTTCTTGAAATAAATTATTATTATTATTATATTTCTGCTGGGATGAAAGTTGCGATATTGCATTCCAGGAGCTCAAGAACTGTCTGTGCAAAACACCTATTTTGGGGTACCCTGATGCGGGCAAGAAATTTATAGTTGACACAGACGCAAGTGATATAGGACTTGGCGGTGTGTTGTCTCAACGGAATGGTGATCAAGAGATTGTGATAGCGTATTTCAGCAAGTCGTTGTCAAAGCTGGAAAGGAACTATTGTGTCACAAGACGGGAATTGCTTGCTGTGGTAAAGTCCTTGCAGCATTTTAGCAAATATCTTCTGAGGCGGAAATTCCACTTACGAACTGACCATGCTGCACTGAAATGGCTACTGCAGTTAAAAAATCCGGGAGGACAAGTTGCGAGATGGATTAAACTACTGCACGAATACGACTTTGTGATCGAACATCGCAGCGGGAAATCTCATGGCAATGCAGATGCATTGTCAAGAAGACCTTGCCTTGAAAATTGCAAGCATTGTACTAGGCAAGAGGGTAAGGAAGTGGTATCTGTAAGGATACTTAGGACAGACCAGTTCAGCAATGAGTGGAAGAACAACCTACAAGCCCAAGTGGAGCGACGTCTCAGCGATGAGTTCGACCACGAAAAGCTATTGGGCCGAATGGGACAGCTTCCTGATTCAGGATGGAGTCCTGTACCGTAAATGGGAAAATGGTCGGGGAGACAGTTGTCATTTGCAAATGGTTGTCCGTAAGGCTAAAGTACCGGATGTTCTACAGCTGTACCATAGTGATTGTTCAGGAGGCCACCTAGGAGTTAAACGAACTCTACTGAAGATCTGAGAACGGTTTTACTGGGTTCACTGTCGTGACGATGTCGAGGACTGGTGCCGCAAATGTACGAGTTGTGCGGCTGTAAAGGGACCTCAAATTCGTAGTAGAGGCGCATTGAAATTGTACAATGTTGGTGCACCATGGGAGAGGATAGCCATTGACGTTGCGGGGCCATTTCCGGAAAGTGAAAGTGGTAACAAGTATTTCATGGTTGTGATTGATTACTTCACTAAGTGGCCAGAAGCCTGTTGAAGTTTTCTGTCGTTTTGGCGTACCATTAGAGATTTACAGCGATCAAGGAAGGAATTTTGAGTCTCAAATATTCCAGGAAACTTGGCGAGTTATGGGTACTCATAAAACAAGAACAACTTCTTATCACCCACCATCTGAAGGAATGGTAGAACGATTTAATCAAACATTGGAAAGGTATCTGACAAAAGTTGTGAAAACTTGCGGAACAAAATGAATGACATTTATGAGTACGTCAGACAGACGAGCCAGCAAACGTCTGAGAAGATGAAAACACGGTATGACCGCAAAATGAACAACAAAGGGTTTGACGAAGGTTCACTAGTGTGGTTACACAATCCAGTTCGCAGCAAAGGGAAATCTCCTAAATTTCAAACTAAATGGGATGGACCGTACCGGATTATGACAAGGATCAATGACGTAATCTACCGGATACAGAAAGGTGCCAGAGGTACTCCTAAGATCGTCCATGTGGATCGACTGGCGCGTTATTAATGGGGCCAATAATGCTCGGGACGAGCATGTCTTAGGGGGCCGCAGTGTTGCACGCCACTATTAATGTCTTGTACATGGCAACACTAGTCACCACTAGCGCCCTCTAGTGTCGAATAGCAGAACTAGGTCCGTTTGGAATAACAAGGGGTCATTTGAGAGACGTTAGCCATTGAGTCTAGATTAGCCGTCGAATAAGGACTACGATTTTCTGACTAAAATTGTAGCTGTATAATTGTTACTGAATGCATCCTTTTATCACTTTAAGCTTGCAATATAATCAATATTATGCAAGAAGTTCTATCTATCCAAAGATATTTTTTTAAATATGGATGTTTGTAAACTCTTTCGACGAATCATTAAACAAAATAAGATACAGTAATGTTACGAAAAGCAATACACCTATAAGATTAAATGTAAAAACATACATAAACACACCTACTTGCTTCGTTTGTGCGACGAAGACTGAGCAGGAACGCGTTCCGTGCGGAATTTACGAAAGTGTGTTGCGACTCACATACATACGGAATTCCGTTTCGGGATTCCGTTTCAATATTCCGATTCGAAATCCCGAACACTGCAAGTCCATATAAAATCTATGGCCCGCCTCACATGTACGGTAACTCTCCGTACGGAACTTTCTCCGATTCGAGATTCCGTATGACCGCCTGTGCGTTCGAAATACCGAACGGAATAAAGCCGCTCTGAATGCAAGTCTTCCATCGATTTTGTATGAATCGCAACACACATTCGTATTTACTAGAAAATCTACATTTGAGTTTTTTACAAGAAAAAACGGCATGTTAAAAATATTACGTTATACCACAAACCGTCCATTTTGACAATAAACACCTCCAAATTGATTGAATAAAACTATTTTTACGGATTTTATCGCGTTTAATTAACTTATTTTATATTCCCGACGTTTCGGTTGCTTTCCAGCAACCGTGGTCACGGGGGACTGAGGTGATTGACGTCCCGATGTCAAAGTTAACCCGGAGTACCTTCAGCTGTTTAATTATTAATTTTGGTCCGATCTACGCAGAAATAAGCGATAAAATCCATAAAATAGTTTTATTCAATGTGTAGTGTTCGCGTAAATATAAGAAATCATTATGTAAACCTCCAAATTGAAATAAAAATCGAACTAAAATCAACTATCATGAGAGAACCTACGTGTAGTACTTCCGCAATTTGTTTCCATCATCTCAACTCTCTTAACATTTTTCGCATTTAAATAATCATTTTATTTTATAAAACAATGTAAGTCTTTTCATTTCATTTATATAGCGCGCTATTTGTTAAATAGCGTAACACGCGAGAAAACGGGTTTCATTCGCGAATTCGTTCTTTGCAATAACTTCTGATTTACCACGTGCTTGGTGTACCAAACTGTATCTTCACCACCAACCACAAGGTTATCCTGAAGAAACGTGCATTATAAAAGTATTTCGACAATATGTAAAGAAGTCCGTCAATATGTATTGAAGTAGCATGATGGACTCCTCCCTACTCCAAAACACCTTTCAGTAATAAGATAGATCTGTGCCTAGCAGTGAGATATATGCAGGCTACTACTATTGGTTGTAACGTAGGTTCTATTATAATTGATGTTATATTCAATCTCACATAATTAAAGGCTCAAAACCACATATAAATTACGTATTCCAATAAAATTATTTTTAAGAATTAAACGAAAACCGTTAAATAACAAAAATCTTAAATCAAACGTATCTTAAAACAATATAAAACATCTTTATTTTCTTGGGTCTATAATAAAGATCGTTTCGTTTTAGATAAAAGTCCATTTTGACAATAAACTAGAGCGGGAGGAGTAAACGAATTCCATCAAACATTTGTTTTTATTGGCTCACCGCTGATACTTTGTGCCCATTATGAAATGGTAGCAGATAAAAGAGACTGTTTCAAACATATTTTAATGTTTACTTCGAAAAAAGATAAAGTTTTAGAAACAATGACTTTTACAAAAAAATACCTTCGCTAGCTTGTGTTAATTTAGTGACGAAGATCAAAATGATCTTCGTCACTAAATTAATTTAAATGTCTCATTTAACTACAAAGTAGCCAAAATAATAGATCTGTTTCAGGTAGTAGAGCCACACTACAGCTATATATTATGGTTGTAGCACGAATGGGTCAGCTCGTTCGGGGAAGAAATTACGCTCTCACATAATACAAATGTGAAATAGCAGCTTGATGCTGCTGTATTTCGTGCGTCATCGCGTAACCATTCTCTACACATGGGTGTTGATAACTGGAGCCCCTTTTTACTTAGTCCTCAGGGTCGATAACGCATCTGCGTTTTGATTCTTAATCTAAAGCAAACCCATATGTCTATGGACCACTGTATCTAATTGTCATCAGGCCAGGCCAGTGCCATACCCTCATAGCCTTATACTATAAAAATACCGAAATGATTCCTTAAAATAAACGTAAAATTATCAAGAAATATTATCGGGATGAAGATACAATACACCAAGATGATGACCTGGCCTTACACGTAGTTCATGGTCGCCACGAAATTGATGACAACCTACTATTCTGGGAACGAATGTTTATTTTAGAATATATTATTCTGTTAACGAAGATTTTTCCTAGGACAGAAATTATCGAAGAATTAAGCTTTTTTATTGCGTTTAAATAGATCATTCACTGCTAATATACTAAGGTTACTAATCCACCAAATATTACTGCAGTTTTTAACGTTTAGATTCAACACGTTGAATTACTTTTATAAATATACACAGTGTGACCAATGGTGTTATGAAGATTTCGGATGACTTTTTAGTATACATCTAGGAAAGCTAAAGAATTGTTTACCTCTAACTCCATTGTGAATTATATTTTAGAGTTTATGGAATTTAGGTGGTCTAAAAATGCAGTTCTTTGTCAGGTGGTAAAATTGTAAAAGTGTCGTCTTTGCGACTTCAGGAGATACAGGTGAGCTCATCGCCACACCATCTACTTGCTTGTAGAACTCTTCCTTCCACAATAGATAGCCAGATGTGAGTCAGTGTTTGAGTAATACTGTATATTCTGTAGGCATGTTGTTATCTTCTAGCTTCCTAGTTACAATTGCGATGCAGTCTCCAATAGTTAAGCATGTGAATAGTGACTGAACATCAAAACTGACCATACTTTCATTGTCAGCGAGAATTAGGTGTTTTATCTCACTAACAAAATGGTAGGAATCCTTCGTGTATGCTCTGGTATGTCCTCTCAGTGGTGACAATATTTTCGCCAAGTGTTGAGCCAACTTATAAGTTGGTGAATCGATTTTGCTTACTATGGGACGTAGTGGAGCATTTGGTTTGTTTATTTTCGGTGACCCATACGTACAACCTCGGTGGTTTGGCACATGATGGTATTGTCGAATTCACATATAGATTTAATTTTTCGGAGTATTTCTTTATTAAGTCGGTAGTTGTTTTAAGTTTTTTAGTTATAGGGTCTATTTTGACCTTTTTGTATGTACTTACGTCCGATAAAAGTTGTTGTATTTTGAAACTTTACTCTAACGAATCCATTATTTCTATTATCCGCGTGGAGAATCGTGACCTCTGGTCTATTGATTAAGTTGTACAAATCTTTAGGCTCAATTTACATTGCGATGGAATGGAACGGAAGCTAATTATATTATACATAGTAAAATCAATTCTATGTTAATTGTGTAACGTGCAAACTAGATATGAGCTAAAAAATAGCGCAACTTCCGTGGAATTCTCAAGAATTCCACGTAAGACGCGCGACTTCATTTATCATATCTAGTTTGCACGTTACACAATTAACATAATATTCATTTTACTACGTACAATTTCGTTACAAAAATTCGCATCCATTCCGTTCCGCGGCAATGTAAATTGAGCCTTAACCTCGTCTTTGGGGAGATTTAGTTTCGGCGCTGAACTTCGACGTAACAAGGACGAAATGTCTTGACATATAGTCTCTAAATCTTCCTAACCATATTATTCTTAAACAGACAATCCTCAACATTACAGATCATTTCTCCGTACGGGATTGTTTGCGGCATTATTGCAAAATTCAAGCCTTTTGTACCTTAAATACTTTTATTGTAGGTTCGTCCAGTGTTTGTTTTGACAGATTATAG